CCTAAATCTCCTAATGTGACTTCAAGTCACGTCATAAAATTCCAAAGTTTCAAATTCATAACAAAAAGTCCAAATCTCAAAAATCAACTCTTACGATATTTTTCATGAACAAAAATCCAAAAATTAAATAGAAAAATTATAATTCAGACATAAATTAAAAATAAACCCGACCGGTTCCAAAACAGGAAAATTATATCGGACACAAACCCGACCGGTCCCAGAATCCGAAAACTATATCGGACACAAATCCGGAAAAATTCGCTTTTTATGAAGATCACAGTAATCGCTTATCAAAAAAATTTATATGACTACTACGACTACTTTTCTGACATTAGTATCGCTTAGTATTCGCGAGTATTGACAGTTGATGTTTTAGCGTCAGATTGTACTGTAACTGTACGAGTATAGACTACATTACAGTACTTTATCGTCATGTTATAAATCCCCTTTCTCTAAGGATAGGGTTTTGCTACTAAGTCAAATTTCTTTACAATTTGAATAGACGATCAAACGCCCTTTCTTTAGATTAGGCATTTGCTCTATAGGGCTACTTCTATAGTAATCTATATAATACCTTGTAAAATAATGAAGAAGAAAAGATGGCGACATGATCATTTGGCAGGGTAAAACTTAAAGACACTATCACTTTTTAGGTATTTTCTATAGTAAAATAATACTAATTACATACTAAAAACTACAAAGGACTCTACTTTTAGTCCTTTTACTACACTAGTTTCTTTACTCTTGACATCAATTAATAAGATAATATACGATACTATTAATAGACAATTTATTTTAAGGCTATTTAGATTGACTATAGTAATTAGCCTGTATATTATTATAATTATAACTAGGCTCCTGCTTGTACCAGATTTTAAAGTAACGAAGGACCATTAGTTATTGTTAATTATAATTAATTGAACTAAAGATATTTTTAGTAAACAATTAATAAAATTATTACTTCCATATATATATATATATATTACTATTAGTAATAGCGCTGGGAATAATTGTAGAAATAATTCTAGCAAAAATTAGTAACAGCTTTGGCGATAGCGGTAGCAACAATTGTAGCCATAATTAAGGCAATAATTATAAAAATAATTAGCAATAATTGTAGTAATAATTGTCGCAATAGATATATATATGTTTAGAGCTTTTAATTCCGGTTACATCTTACCAAAAGCGATTCCCTACGCATACTTTACACAAGGCCTATGGTGTGGTATACGGTTACTCCTTTAATAAAATAAGATCATTACGGTGATAAATTTCAAGTACGTGTACAAAAGCTAATTTTAATCCTACCGTATCGGATTATAAGCAATCTATGAAATAGCACCTATTTTAATCAGTGTATAGCATACTGTATGGTGTAATTAAATAAGAGCTATTAGTGTGTCGTATAGTCTTGACGTAAAACTTGTGTACAGAGCTTTTAACTTTTACCCAATAACGGTAGAGGGAACTGATTTACCTACTTTAATACTTTACACAATATATTGCGTACTGTGTAATTAAAATATGATTACCATTATATAATGACGTACGGTATGGAAACTGATTGGAAAATACGTGTAGTCATTAATAGTACATTGTAATCTTACTTTCGCTGATGTCTGGACCAAAGCCCACAATAAATCTCCTTTCTAAAAGATTAATCAACCATCTTGATGTTAATATTCTAGTAATCAAGTAGCTTCTAGATTAAATCTAGTGATTTAATTCATTGCTGTCACCCCAATGCATTGAGTTAATAAATAGATGCCTATTATATGACAATTAGTTCAGGAAGAAAGAATATAATATGGCTTATCATTACCACAAATGAGAGAATATCATGCCATAAAAGTCTAGGTGTTGGAAATTAACCGTTGCTTAGCAACAGAAAGAGATTCTTTCGTCAGAATATGGGCGTAGACTCTACAAAAGTCATGCCGTAATAGGGTCGAGTTGTAAGCCCTACTCATATATCAATAAAAGTATAGAATTGTATGTATAGTTTAATATGAAATAAACAAACGATAAACTTATATATTAGCTTGACACTAATCTATTATTAGGTAAGCTTTCCAATCGGATTATTAATATGGAAATCACTTCAATTGTTTCTATAATGATCATGAATTATGTATTTTGTTATTGTCTAATCCTACGCTAAGAGAGGGTAATGTAGAATTCTTAGCGCCACTTCTACTTATAATTATTATTGTCTGGGTTCGTCATACTATTATACAATTACTATGATAAACTCTATCTAAATTGATTTCATAGTATCCTTAGAAAACTATCTACATTTAAGCTAAGATATAATCATAGTTGTAGATATTTCGATCTAGCATACGATCTAGATGAATTGCATTATTTCACTCGTTATCAATGAGATCAACTGAACATTTCAGTAAGCAAAGCTATAATCGGAAGTAGTTACCTAAAGCTTATTTCATATATTATTATTATTCAAGAGAGTGTACAGCTCTCAAATCTCGATCATATTTTTCCGTTCATCAATCAAGAAGTTCCTGGTAAGTTTTAATTACTATTCTTGAAGTTATCATGGTCAAGTTAGGTGTAGAGGAAATGCCTTCTTAAAGATGACTAAAATGGCGGCACTTAAAAGCTCAATTTAATTTGATCATAAGTTTAATTAAGTAAATCTTTAAGTTATTTCAATAACTTGAATTAGATTGTGAAACTTAATTTAAACCCACTCACAATATCAGTCAAAACAGGTGGTTGTATTAATTGCTATTTCTGCTTAAATTCTATCACATTCTAATCTTATTTCAAGGTAGTTTAAATAATTGTATTCTAAAATTTTGTTTCCAGTTTCGATAATAAATTATAAACAATGTACTAAACTTCCTATTTAAACATGATTAGATCTTGATGTTACTATCCGATATTAGCTTTGTTTGTATTAAACGGTCAAGCTTCTAGAGAGAGATTGATTTGATAGCGTTGCTAGTAGATATAGAGTCTTTTAGCGTGAATAGATCTATATCATCGGGTCTTTAACTAAACCTACAGAGTTATTATTTTAAAGCCATGATACATTTACTGAACACTCTTATAATGAAGTTTATAGTCTAACTATATGAAATGTTGTAGCCGGCTTACAGTTTTATGATGCTCCCGTACTTTAATTAACACTACGTACCAAGATAGAAATAACAGCATCAGTCTATTTGATATCTCTAGAATCAGCCAAGTATACTTAGAAAATCACCGCTATAGTCTTACTTTATTGGTCTGATCGTTACCGACACTTGATTACAGTTGCTATCGAAGTAGACGTCAGATTCAAATCTACAACTCGTATGCTGTCCAGACATAAACTGATTATTTCTCATCCTCGCCTTAAGTTAACTATAATGACGCAGTTAATGCCATATTTAACTTGTAAACTTATAAACTGGTCAATTGCAGAAATAGAAAATCCTATAGATGTCATTTATCTTTAAGGTGATGGGTGTTAGATCCTAAATAATCATGTAATAGTTACTTTGATTTAAAGTTAATACGACCCCAAGTTCTTGATTTTGCCGTCATCTTAGTGGCATATTTGAGTAAACATCGAATTTGAGCCTGGCTTTTAGTTATAAATTAAATATTCCTTCGTTACGAAATAGCCTTGAATGATTATTCAGTAACGTTCTAATAAGACTGCCTACCTAATATTCTTAAATTATAGGATTAAATTCAACTTTTATAACCATTTATTACTTCGCCAGTGAAAAATTTCTGTACTTCGCTTAATATGTTCGTTACAGATTCTCGATCATACTGAATCTATTTTATTATTTGTTGACTTAATCACTCTGTCACTCATGGGTAAACTTTCGTCACACCCTAAAGCTAAATGTTTGAGAGATTTATAGAAATAGCGATGGCAAATAGCTTACCGATAGCGATCGATAATATTTCTTCTCGCCTAAATTAACTAATGAATAACTTAGAAATTGTTGATTTAATTTTACCGCTATTATATTTTATAGCATAGTTATTAATTTGGTTCGATATTATAGGTGAAAGCCTCTGTTTTTTATACCTCGCTATTAATTGGAGAAGAAACGTGTCTGGTTAATTTACGGGTTATACTCAAGTTGGCGGCTGCCACTTATGGCTACTAGTAAAGACTACATCATTGAAAGCAATTTTATAGCTGATTTTATTGTACTTAATCGAAACAGTTATCTGCACTCCAACCATGAAAGTTTTGCTTGCACTACTGCTTCTTTTAGCCTTTACAATATCTGTTGAGGTAAGTCGAATAAGTTTGGAATGACTACAAGATATTTTTGATAGGTCTGATAATATATTGTTTTTAAAATTTTTTTCTTGTTCTGTGGATAATACACGAATGGAGTGATGCTAGATTTATATCATGTAAAGTAAACTTCAGGGCTATCTGTTTTTCCTAGTCTATAAAATTATATGTAGAAAGTAGAAGTAGTACAATTATTTTTAATGTTATAATATTTCTATTGCTGTAGAATCAATCTAACAACACTATTAAAAAAATGGTAGAACGAATGTGTTCATCGCCCTATTCTATTTTATAATCTTTGTATGTATTTAGGCTAGCGCTTGTTCTGCTACTAGCCATGCTGAATTTACTTTACAATTTGATCATTACTGGAACCCGGACGAACGAAATTATAATGGAGGCAAATGTGACGATTTTTCTGCCTGTGAATATTACTTTATTATTTGTCTAAACACCCAAACTTCAACCGATCCTTGTACTATTGGTAGCTTTACAACCAAGTATTGGGAAAGGAGTCAAAATGTGTCATTTTCTATTGGTGAAGTTATGAATAGTACAAGCCAAACAAACCCTCTTAACTTTACAATCCAATCCTATACGGTAAATT